ATTTATACAAAGCACTATCGACGAATCAAACAACGATCAATCTATCAAGTAAGTAATCGAGTTAGATTCCAAATAGATATATCAATATAATCCTTAGCAATTACAAGCCTTACTACGACAACAGAAAGTATGAATAAAATATATTTTTTGATACAATAAATTTCAATTTTATATTTTAAATAGCAACAACTACAGTTACGGATAGTATGACAGTAACTACAACCATGGACAATACGACACAAACAACAACAACCACAGGTAAATTGATGATTAATTTTCAGTCATTTAAAATGTTTTAGTTTTTCGAGATATAAAAAATTGTATATAGTGGATGTCATGTAAAGGATCTTATGGTAGAGTCGAACTAATACGGAGTCTCTGCGAATAGCTAGATGAAGCTTTTCATGAATCATGATCTATCTTTTTATTTGTAATTCATCTTTTTTTCTATTGAAGTATCAGACACGACAACTACAACTATCTCAAGTAAGTATAAATGCAGAAAATAAAAATGTTTTCCACTTTTATTATTTCTGCATTGAATAGCAACAGCAGGTGCTACTATTTGTTCGACAACAGCCATTACTACAACAATCACTACAACTCCTCTTCCACCTCAGTGTTCAAATTATACATCGGATACGAGTGCAACTCGTAATGCTGCTTATACAGTTCTTGGTAATGCTTGTGATACATTTAGTCCTTCGCCAAAGTGGTTTCGCTTCTCTGGTGGGGCGGGTACTATGGTAGCCAATTGTCCTGTTCACTTTAGTAATTGTAATACGAATATGGCTGGTTGGTATAGTGGTGTGTATCCATCAATAGCAGGTGATACAACGAGTGGAACTGTTTGTTACGCTTGGACCACTACCACGTGTCTCTATAATAACTCGATTTCTGTCACGAACTGCAATGGCTACTATGTTTTTCTTCTCGCTAGCTCATTTAGATGTAGTATTCGATACTGTACCATTTAATGAGATTAATTTTTACTGAATATGAAAGAAAAGAGAATAAACTAGAGAGCCTCAAATCTTATTTTATGTGTATTTTTCTTAAAATTGTTTTCTTTAAAAAGTAACATGATTAGAGGATGAGGGTAAGCGAAAGATTATGACTCTGATCCTATTGATTTAAGGAACAATTTACGACAACCGACTGTCTCGTCGCATGATGAAATCATGATCGATGTGAAGCTAGCACTACATGACGAATTACCAGGACGCGAGAAAAAAGTTTATTGATCGAATGCACGACCAATCAGCAAATCGAAAAACCAAAAACATCAGACTAGAGGCTGATAATTTGAAAATGGCGAACCTTAGCAACAGTAATCAGTGAGAAGCTAGCACAACGCAAAGAGCTAGCACGGGTGTGTGGGTGGGGGTGTGGGTGGGTGTGGGTGTGAGTTTTTAAGTTTTCATGGCACTCACACCCACCCCACACACCCACACCCACCCACGCCCACGCCCACACCCACCACACCCACACCCACACCCACACCCACACCCGCATAATACATGTAAATGGATTACTTTTGCATATTATTTTTCCATCACTTGATACGGTCTATTAAGAGAACAAAATATACCACAGGATGTAGCGTGAAAAGCTCTACAATCTACACAGTACAGTATATTTTAATTATGTAATTTTTGTTTTTAAAAAAAGCACAAATTTGTGCGATCAGGTTTTGAAGTTAATCATATACAGTTTTGCTTTTTTTTTGAAAACAAAAATTACATAATTAAAATATGCTGTACTGTGTAGATTGTACAGCTTTTCATGTTGCATCTTGTGGTATATTTTGCTTTTTCTTAATAAAATTTATTAGGTGATAAAAAGGGTGAAAAGAGACGAATTTTTCGTTCTTGTAGAAAAAAACGACATTTTATACGACGTCAAGAATTGGTCACATACAGTTTTGGTTTTTTCTGAAACCAAAAACTATGTAATTAAAATACGCTTTACTGTGTAGATTGTAGAGCTTTTCACGCTGCATCTTGTGGTATATTTCGTTTTCTTAATAGACCGTATCAAGTGATGGAAAAATGATATGCAAAAATTGCCTATTTATCATACGCCAACTATTGTTTTTGCGACATGGAGAAAATAAGATTTCAAGAATGTTAGCCTATACATCTCCCTTATTTGTCAGGATAGAAAGATGAAAATTTACGATAATATTTGCCATGCTACAAGGGATAAGATACCAAAATTTGAGCATTTTGGAGTTTACTATAAAAGAGAACGAACAATTTTTGTGAGAGGTACCAAGACTTTTGGATCACCCTCTATCTGAATCATAAGCTGAGTGTGGGTGTGAGTGTGAGAGAAGAGAAAAACCTACAATCACACTCCACATCCGCACCCACAATCTCTATCATTTTGACGGTACTTTTTCCAGTATTATCAACTGTTCAATATTTATCATTGCATAATCTTTCAATTGATATCTTTTGGTTGCCTGAAAGTTTTGAATATTTCAATAGAATTGAACATCTTGAAATAACACTTGACCTTCGCGACGAATTGGATTGTTGAAGTCGTTTGATATTGGATAATCTAACGGTTGGAAATGGTGGAAAATACTTGCGAACACTTATAGCACAAATTCAACTTCATGTGTCATTTGTAGAACTTGCATCAGTGTTAAAATATTTTCCACAATTAAAAAATTTCTCCCTGGCTACATGTGAATTTACAAATGATATTCAATTTTATAATGGTTTAAATTGAGAAGAATTAATTCGAATATCACTCGTTCATTTATGTTTGAAATCAGAAACATTTATTTTGAATCAGAGTCCAACTTTTCTCATACGATGATTTCGTCAACCATTTTGGATAAAAGAAAAAAATTGTTTGTTGTCTGTAATAAATTTCCAAATGAACTTATTCAATTCTACACAATACCATGTCCAAAAAATGTTATTGTCGTCCAATCGGGATATGAGACTTCTTTCATGGAATTGATCAACATTTGATTCTATAATTAATCTTCGAAGCAAAACTACTCGATTCACAAACAATCAAAAATCATTACCGTATTTTAATAATGTCAAATCCATTTATATTTTGTCACTTCCAACGAAAGACTGTCGTTTATCAAAACATATGAATTTATGCAACATTGAATCAATTATCGATAATCATGGGATACCGTCATATTAACAATTGAACATGACTGGGAACAATTTCTTACACGTACATTAGTTTAAAATGTTCTTGTCTTCGCCTAGGTACACATTTCTTTTTTACCGTTTTTTTTTGTCTACATTATTCGTAAGAAAACAAGCTCCGAAATTTCGAACGATTTGTTCAATTAAAGAATTCTCTACAGATCACATTTCAAATAACTCAGAAAGTTTGTGTAAGTTCATGGAACGTTCAACAAGAATGAAAATACAGATCTTGGGTGTGGGTGTAAACCATTTATTCATCTAAATTCACAACCACACCCACATTGATCTCAGTGGAAATCGTTGGAATAAATGGAATTTCAGTCTAGAAGTTCGATTTATTTCTGTGTATTCGGTAAATTCTATTTAAGTTTGCTATGTAACTTTTTGGAAAAGAGAAAAAATTATAGTCAAAATGATGAAGGAATCGTTATCTGTGGATTATTCTTTATTAACCAATAATTTGTAATAATCATTATTACTTTTGTTAGGAATGTGGACGTGAGAGTAGCCGAAGAGTTCATCCCCAATTCTCACACCCATACACAGAGAAAGAGTGTGCAAATCATTATGGTAATTACTTTAAACATTGGACAAAACAAACACTAAACGCACTTTTTAATTTTATATAACTTTTTAAAAGGTTATCAGAACTTTTATGTACCTGCACGTAATACTCACGAGTCGGATAATAAATAAACAGAGAAAAGAGTAGAGAAAATTTTATTTTGAAAAAGAAGTCGTACCGAAGTGATTCTGACTGAAGAGAAATCCGTTGAGTTGTAACGAGTGGAGGATGTTACTCAGAGACTATTTTCATGGCAATGAAAAAAGTGCAAGAAGAAAGTTCAGCTTCGTTGAGTAGAAACGAAAACTTTAGAATTAGAGAGTTACAGTGAGCACCTCTTGACCCTACTTCTAACCAGTTGACTGACTCGCCGGTTCGTCTGCGCCTAAGTAATCCACATCGATTAACAGTAATTGGAATCATTGAAATATTTTCTAATATATCTTTTCAATCTATGCTGTTAGAAGTATGAAAATAGAAAATAAAACTATATTCGAAAAACAGATGACTTTGGAAGTTTTATCGACGTCTTATTCGATGTTTAATACATGATAATAGTCCAAATGTTATCATTCTCTTTCTGTACAAAACTGAATGCTTTGACGGTGACGAGAAAAGTTGACTATGCAACCGTTTAGAAATACATAAAAATCTTGAGAATGTATTTAATTGAGTGAATGGAAAATTTTTTTCAGTTTTATATAGTATTCTTGTTAATTTTTCTCAAATGTTCTCAAAGTTAAGCAAATTCAATTCTACGACACATAACTATTCTAGTTTTTATCGATATACTTGATAGCTCGAAAAGCCATTTTCAAGGCAAGCAAGGGAAGCATACTGATACTGATAAATATTTATTGAGCGAATGTTTTTTCCGTGGACAACATATTTTCCTGCTTATTCACGCATCAAAACTAAAAAATTAATAAAAGATGGCAAGTAAATGCATAGAAAAAAAAACCGTAGAATGTGTATGTATGCAAAACAAGTCATCTGTTCAAGCAGCTATAGATAGGAGCAGCGCATACACCGGAGCATACGAATGCTGAGTTGCCTATATAATGACTGTCGATACCGACTCGCTAGGGTTTTCTTAGAAGAGAGTGAAAAATTTATATTATTTGCGTATTTAAAATTGTTTACCCCAGAAAGAGCTTGTGAATCATTGATGTGACACGAATTTTCTTACTTACCATAGGAACGAATTAACTTTCTAATTTGAGATGAGACTTTAACTCTTTACCCCCGAATGGGTCGTTTTCGACGCATTCGTACGATTTACATAATTTAGTAAAAAAACAACTGATTGAGAAGATTGTGGAATATTTGTATAGAGAATTGAATGAGCTATAAATGCATAAAAAAAGAATTTCTCCTCAATCATTCTTTACACGACTTATTGGAGTAAAAAAATTGTGAATTTTCGAAAATGTGAAAAAATTCTTTTTCTGAGTCTATTGCTTTTTCTTATTTACGTAGATTGAGTACTCAGACATTCTAACTGTTGATATGTACTGCTACTACACTAACCTATTTGAAAGAAAGATCAAATGAATTTGTTAATTATTCGAGAACGAGCACCATCCTTTAAGTCAATTTGGATCGTTTTCGACCCATTCGGGTTGAGTGACATAAAATTTTTATTTTTCTGAAATGATTTTCTCTCATTAATATGATAGCATAATTAGTGATATTTTCATATTAAACACTTTTGTAGGATTAACAATAGTCAAATGACGGGAGAATTTGTCTTTTTTTGGATTGAGAAATAGATACATCAACTATCTAGCCAGCAGATCACTATATTATATTCTTTTTCGATTGAATCATGCGAATGAAATCGTTTCTTTTCTTTTATTGATGGTGGCACTGTACTATTATATGTCAATGTTCATTCCTGTATCAATTGTCCATTTTTGTTACGTTCTATCACTACACATTAAGGCCCATTTTGTGTTGTTCATTGTAAAGTTTCGTTTAAAAATAATTAAATGTATTTAATATCGTTTTTGAAAAATTCAATTTTGCAGAAAAAATTGTTTTTACGAAAAGCAACACGTCAGACCATAGGAATTCAGCATAAACAATCCAACAAAATCGTAAAAATAGTATGTTGAAAAAAATTGAATTTTCATGCCACTCAACCCGAATGGATCGTTTTCGACCCATTTTTAAGTATCGCAGCGAAAGAGTTTCACTGGAATTTGGCTACATTCTTGGCATATTGGGCCCGTGTTTAGACTATTCCTATACTTAAATCGGTACTAACTTTGCCGGATCGGTTTTAGGGAGTAAAGGGTTAATGAGATCATTTCTTTATTCAACTATCGATGAATTGTCGCCAAAAAAGTGGAGTCTGCAATTGTTTCATACACTATGAAAACGCTGAAAAAATAATCCTAAATTTGCGAAAGTATTTTTACAAACATCTGTATGTAAACAAAGTCACGATGTGATTTGATATGTTGTGATTCAAATTTTTTCAAAATGTTACTTATTGACTGTTAACGATGATTTATTGGAAATATGTTGAACAAAAACAGCTTTGACAAGAAAATGATCTTCTCAGAGTGACAAAAAAGAGACAGTAATCATTTATATAATTCTCAATGAGTTATCATCAACATAAGAGTCGATAGTTGTGCCCACCACGTCTCTTCGAATGAATTTGATTGAATAGTCAATACTTCGTGTACCCCTTGGTGTTGGAAATCCCTTCATATAACGACACCATCCTGGGTTTGATGTCTTGCAAGCAAGTTCTCCTGTCGTTACTATGTTCAATATTGAAGACGAAGCTGATCGAAATGTCAAACTAACTTCTACTTGATCATGACGCATAAAAAAACTGTCCCAAGTTTGATAATAAAAATGTAGTTCCGCCATGAAAGAACGTGTGTCAAGTTGACTTTCCGTGAAATCTTGAATACCACCTAGAAGTTTAACATTTTGAACTAATCCTGATGATGAATCATCTACTCCTTTTCCGCCAGCAAAACAATAGGATCCACTATGTGGATAATAATTGCTATTGAATGCTCCATTTGAATCAACAATGGCGGTTGCAGGACCCGTTTGACGCCAACCAGCGATAGATCGTTCTTCGGCACCAGGATTTAACAATAAATTTGGGGCAATCATAATAGGTCTTGTCGCTTAAAAATAAAATCAGTGAAAGCATGCTTAAGATTAGAAGTCCATATGTCGGAATGAAAAAAATATGTATTAACATTTTGAGACTTATTGAGCAAACTTTATTCACGAAGTAAAAATTTTTCTAATGATTCAAACAAGTTGTGCAGAACAAAATGCGCTCTATGGAGTTTTCATGAAAAAAGTTCTCAACTTGCTGTTAAAAAACTACTTATCAATACTTCCGAGGATACGATGAAGGTGACTGTTCGGTTCTCACATGTCTGAATGACAGACAGGTGTATACCTTCATATATAGCGTGATAATTTTAAAAGAAAAATTTACCAGTGCATGGGCAATAAAACCTTATTTGTCCCCCCTTCCCCAATTTTTCAGAAGAGATAATTGCCGCCTTCACCTACAGATCGACCTCGCACATGCTTCCTACTGATATAAATTTGAGTCGAATCAGTGTATGTTTAGTCAAAAAATCAAATATATTAGCACAGTAGTATTAGTAATAGTAACAACTGTATATCTCTACTCAAGAGACCTGACAAATCAAACCATTGTAAGATGTTTAATAACTCACTGAGGTCCATCTTTTGACTATATATTCGATCAAAACAGCAGTTGAACAGTTGAGAATGTTCCCTCTTAAGGGTGCGGGTGTGGGTGTGAGGGTTTTCTTTTTTGCACTAACACCCACACCCTCTAAGTTCTAGCAGGGAGTTATACCTTGATAAAGAACGTAAAATCCTACAAGTGTTCACTTCTGAGCTTGCTCAAGATCTTAATTTGAATTCCAAATACGGTTTTCACAAGATTTTATCTACTTTTTGTGAATATCTGGTCCAAAACTTCGAATTGAAATTGTTGTAGAATTGGATGCTGTTCTGACCAGAATCTTAGCGAGAAAGAAAAGGATATTCGTCAAAAAGTAATTCTCAAAAATCCAGACAAGATTTTATAATGATTTCTGAAACCTAATGCATACTCATTCAGAGAGTCTTCATTGTAAGTGTTCAGATTCTTCTTGAGAGGCCTTCATGGATAAGCGCTTGCAATTCTTCCTAGAAAAATGCTAATGTTGACTGGGATCGTGACGAGAAAGCAAGGACATTAAGCTAGGATCTTTCGGAATTCACGCTCGATTATACTCAGAGTGTTAACCAGGTTTTCAGAGCGTGTTTGACTGTGGGGTGTGTGTATAGATTCTCATTTCATCCATATAAACTGACACCCACCCTAAAGAGTTAGAATGAATCCAAGTTGTAAAAGATGTGGCAAGATTCCAATGAAAGCGAGAGTCCAAAAGACCTTCGAAGATCAAAGAAAGTTGAATATTTCAAGGAACATAAGATATGTCTTTATTGGAAAGAAGCTTGAGAGTGGGTGTAAAGATGAAGAGAAGCATCTTAAACACCTTCAAGATAGAACAAGCAAAAAAAGAATGGCAGATGAAGAAACACTGTTCTGAAAAGTGCGTAAACCAATTCAGAATTGAGGTTCTTGATCAACGAATGGCTTATAAAGGAAAACGATGGTTGATTGTACGAAACTCATTTTACTACAAAAACTATGACGTTAGTCAAGTAGCGAACAGTCGAGACACAGTTTTTTTCTTTGAGGCACCTCTTTATGCACTGAAACGTTTGAAAACCGATTTCAATGGAGTGAAAAGAAAACATCCAATACCTCTCGGTTTAAAACACATCAAGGGAATCAAATCAATTGAAATTTGGAAAAATCGCGTTTGTTAACCATGGTTTTCGTACAGCATCCACGTTTGCTGCCGTATTTTCGTAGCTAGACTAGTTATAATTCTTCATTCTCCTGTCTCTATGCATCCTATGTTTGTGTTACCGATGTTAAATCTTCAATAACACGAAATGTTTTGATGTTTTTAAATTATTTCAATATTTTATGCATTTTTAGTGAGTCACTACTAAAGATCCTCTAGGGCACGAGTCAAAATGTTTCTGCATACATCAAGTATCCTTAGTTGATTTATATGTAGTAAGTGTCATGCATGAAGCGCATATAATAATCAAAATTCTCTCTGAGTCTATTTTGGTGAGTCTTTCAAATGATCAACTAATTAGTTTTTGACTAATCTTATTTCATTCAACAGCGAAATATCTACTCTTTCTAGTATACTAACCTTCAAAAAAGTTTCCGGCAGAATTAGGATGCCTGACTTTAAGATTGTCTGACTTCAGACAAGGAAAAGAGAGAGAAAACCTTTAGAATTCAGTGCATTCTTATAGTATCTGCA